TTTTTTTTTTTTTTTTTTTTTTTGGGGGGGGGGCATATGATACTATTTTCAGTTCTAAGAGGGCCAGGCCCCCCTGGACTCCTTCTTCGTTTGTCTATGGCAAGGGAGTTGAGCCATGAGCCATTGAAGTCGAGGATGCCCAGACTGGAGACCCTTAGCATCTGACGACGGAAGAAAATGAAACGCAGTTACTCAAAATATCCCTCTGTACTGAAAATCTTGAAAATAGCAAGAAATTTTCCAAGAGGGATACTTCTTTGAAAATGTAAAAATAATTTTACAGTGCCCCAGTGTGTGTTTTTGAAAATCTATTCACCTTTTGCGAAATTTTTAGGGTACATTTTTCACTTTTTCTTACGAACTAAGGGTTGCATGTGAATTCGTAGTGGTTTTTCACGGGTAACACGGGCCCTGGTACCAGGGACCCAATATCCCCCTCTTGTGGCGGGACCACCTTCATGCACGCTGGGCGTGTCGATTTCCTTTGACATGTTTGCGCTGGTGAATGCATAGCTAAAGTGCGCTCCAGCTAGAATTGTATTTAGGAAATGGGTGGTTTTTCTACGAGGATTAAAAATAAACGAGTGGTACGGAATATAACAAAAGAATATGAACTATGCAAAACGATAATCCGGGTATCGGAACCTGGCTGTTTTGAAAACGCCTTCAAATGCGGCGTGATACCTCACGCATTCCGGAGAGTTCAAATAGTTGTATCATTGCAGTGTAAGAATGTGACGGAAGATTTAAATGGAAATAGCCTCCATGCACGCTGGGTATGTCGATTTCTTTTGATATTTTTGCGGTGGTGAATGTATAGCAGAAGTGCGCTCCAGCTAGAATTGTATTTAGGAAATGGGTGATTTTTATGGGAGGATTAAAAAAAAAACGAGTGGTACGGAATATAACAAAAGAATATGAACTATGCAACGAAATGAACTCTGATGAGTTTCAGTGCAAGAGTCTCCAAAGCTTTTTAAGGAGATCGCGCCGCGATCTCTTGATATCTGATATGATTCATGATCTCGACTTGGGAGGCTTCACTGATCGTGAAACTGATCGTGGTTCACGTTATGATGAAACGATGACCCTGCCGATCAGTAGCCGACTGCTTCATTCTCTCATTAGTTTAAATTGAAGGTAACGCATGCGTACTAACGTCGTTCCATTGCTGAGATATCTCCCTCCCCCCTCCCCCCTTCGTTTGATCAATCTTCATTCTCTGAGGAGTATCCTTATCAAAGCAAACCAGTCCCGACCAGGTCAAAGATGAACCAGTTCACTTCCCGTTTATACAGAGAAAATACTGGTAATGGCGAGATAGCTACCTTGAGATTTGATCGTGACGTAGAAATACAGGTCGTCCTGGTGACCAATGAGATTAAGGCTATACGAAGGCGCAAACTCAGCTTCACGCCGTACATGACCCGATTTCGCAACGATCCTCATTATACACGCGTTTGCTCGCTGTGACGTGGTCATGCACAACTCTCGGCTCGTTACCTCCTCCTGTTTGTTCTCTATGCTCTGGCTAGTTGTGACGTAACCGCAGGAACGAAAACACGCGCACATGTGTTCCTCCACAAATCAGTGGCTGAAAGTGTATCAGACCTTCGCTACGTGCAAGTTTTAAGAAAGAACAAGAGCTTGACAACGTTTGTGAATATAATAATTGTAGTTTATCGAGAACAATTATTAAACCGTGACTTTAAAACTATGCGACATTCCCGAGAAATCTTATGTAATGACCGCGCGACTGCGGGCAGTTCATGTTTACTTTTGATCAATACATTGACGGGCGTGCATTCTATTTTGTGATGGAACATTATATTTTAAGATTTCTTAAGTTTTGTGATACGTTTTTGTGAAGTGCATCGTGCGTTATTGTGGTTTATGCACTTGACAGCCCCTGCATTCGGAGTTTTTAATTGAGAAACGATTGACATTTATTAAGTGCACCTCAAAGAAATAAAAAATTTGTACAAATATTTTAACGCTGCTCTTCAGTTATCAGCAGAATTTTATTTTTTCACATTTCTCCCCTTTTTGAACTAAGTCCTGGTCTCACCAGATTTAAGCCCAAACAGCGTCGTTTCAAATAAGAACATGCAACCTAAATAATTTGCATCATCTTTTAACAACACTAGATCAAAATGAAGAGCAAGTTGCTGGCAATTCTGCTGTTTGTATGGCTTGCAAACATTCAGAGGTGTTTCGGATACAAAATTTTGGGATTATTTCCGTATAATGGTCGAAGTCATATCGTGATATTCGAGAGTATAATGAAAGGACTGGCAGAACGGGGACATGAGGTGCATGTTTTGAGCCATTACCCTCAAAAAGTCAAAATAGCAAACTACACAGATCTCAGCGTCTTGGGATCCATTCCTTTGCCCAACAATCAATTTTCCTTCGATGGGTTTAGCAGTATTAGATCCAGGTTTCACTTCTTCAACAACATGTTTGCATTGTATAGCATGATTGAGGGGCATGAAAGGGTTATGAAATCCGAGACTGTACAGAAACTGATGGAGTCTAACGAAAGGTAAGATCAAGGTTGGTTTATCTAGTCAACCTATATTCACTCTGTAAGTTTAGACAAAAAAAATACCTCAAAGACCATGCATTGGTGGCGTTTTCTTAATGATCGCTGGTTGCAATTAATTGCAATTACATTGCAAAATTATTGCGATTGTATCCAAGTATGTTGCCTATTCACTAATTGAAGGGGCTCTTACTGGAATTTATTTCAGAAAAATTTTAATTAAGATTTTGTTTACACTGCTAACTGCCTACATTTCTCACCGATATACCTCGTTTTTTTGATCTTTTAAAATCGGTTTGTATACAGTAAATGATGGAAAAATATTGCTACTTCATGGTCAAGAAATTTCGGTTTTTTGTCACGACATTGTAATATTTTATCAACATTTTCGTTGAACTGCGCTATTATAGTTGAAGGTACTATAAAAGCTTTGGCCTTGATACGATTTAAAAGAAAAAAAAAGGAAAATTAAAAGGCCATACTTGAAATTTTTGAGGAAAAATAGAAAGTAACTGGAATAGCAAACAAAGTCAATGACAGCGCTTTTAAGTCTTAGGTACAAGTTTAAATATTGAAAATTCCCAAGATCGTCCGCTGGGAATATTATTGAGTACATATTTTTATTCAAAATATATCCTATTTAGATTGTTTCTAGAAAATTCCAAAAGTACCAAATTTCATTATTCAGTCAATATTCCTCATGGAATATTCTACCCAAAGCAAAGCACTCGTGCACTAGCCAAGTCTATTGGAGCCCGAGTCCAGATTCTTAAAGAAATTTGACAAGAAAAAATACTCTTGATTCAATCGGATTTTTTGCTCGAATCAAAAGGAAATCCGCTTAAATTAAGAGACCAGGCTCTCCATCCAAGCAAAAATCCGTGTGAATAATAAAGAGTAGGTTTTTCTTGTCGAATTTTTTAAGAGTCTGAACTCGGGATCCAAGAAACTTTTTAGCCAGTGTGAAACATTCTCAGTACATTTTTATAATATTCAAGGAGGCTTTTCGATACCAGTTTTTCCGACGGTCAGCGCGAGCTTTATGCCCATTTTAGAATTGAATCTCTCAGCTCGGAAACTGTCCATTTCGGAAAAATGAAATTTTTCAATAGGCGATAAAAACTGCGCATCAGCCCGAGAAGGAGTGTCCCGAACAAAAACAAGAATGAACTTCGTAAAAAAAAGAAATCCGAGTTGGGTCGTTTTCGAACTGAGGGACTCACTTACTTTTCGGGGGATTTTAAGACACAAATATCTCAGACAGCTCCGATTAGACGTTGCCTTCATTAAGCTACCTCGCTTTACCGTACTGGCGGTACGGACCTTTAGGAGTTGCCAAATTTCCTTTGGTAAATCACGAATTTTCGGGTAAATTTGTAAATATTTTTATTCCAATTTTTCAGCTAATTTTGTTCGCAATTTTACCTAAATTTTCTGAAAATTTATCGGAAAACTATGCAATACTTTCCTAAAAAATAAACATTTTATCGAAGGAAATTTGGCAACTCTCGAATGTTCATACGGCGTTTTTCCTTAGCACGGCAGCGTAGGCCTCGAGTATTGCACTGAAAAAAAATCTTGGTGTATTTACTAAGAAAAGGGTAAAATTACCAAGAATTCAGGGTTCTATTTGATCCCAGTTTTTTCTTGGTAAAATTACCATTTATGGAATTGGTAATTTTACTGGACCTTGGTAAAAACGCCAATATTTTTTATCGACTGTGGTAGAATTACCGAGATAGAGTAGCAAAGTTACCGGGTATTGATTACCAATAGAATTGGTATTCTTACCTAAAAAAAACAGTAAAAATACCGGTTTTTAGGTAAGCTTACCAGTCTGTCTTGGTAAAATTACCAATAATTGGTAAAAAAAGTGAGATGGTAAAGGTACCAACGGACTGTGGTAAAAACGCGGAGAATTTTTGTTCAGTGTGGGAGGACCACTGATCGGTCGAAAAGAAGTTCTTGCAACTTCATCTTTGGACTTCTTTCATCTTGGGATCTCATCTCTTTGGTAACACGGTATCTCTTTTCACTGACCTCGAATTTTGTTCCAGGTACGATCTGATCATAACCGAATCCTGGATCCCGGACATGATGCTCGGCTTCGTCCACAAGTTCAAAGTCCCTTTGGTCCTCTTGAGCTCCTTCGGGCCGCCCCCGTGGACGAGCGACTTCCTGGCGAACCCGCAGAACCCGGCCTACGTCCAACACCACTTGGCCCCCTACAGCCCGAAGATGTCCTTCATGGAGCGCGTCTTCAACACGGGCGGTTTGTTCCTCAACCTCGTGGCCTGGTACGGGCTCTTCCTCCCCAAAAATGAGCAGATCATGCGGAAGTACTTCGGGGAAGATACACCACCCCTCTTGGAGACGCTCAAAAATGCCAGTCTCGTATTGGCTAATACCCACCCGACTATCCACGGCGCTCGTCCCTACGCCGCGAATGTTTTCGGGGTTGGTGGCGTTCATTTGGCACCGGTCAAGAAACTGCCTAAAGTAAGTCGCTCGTGAGAAGAATAATTGGATAATCTTATTTAGCAAGCTAGTCAAATTAAGAATGAAACAGTAAAATAAGTCAATGGGAGAAGTAGGACAAAATGTGGAAATTTTAAAAGCTTATATCGTCACCTTCCAGGCAAAGTATCACAAGCGCCATGCGACGTTTAAAAATTTCCGCCGCCATTATATTTTTTTACAGAGAAATTGTTCAACGAAGCTGTCCGAAAATCACACCGAATTTCCTTTGTGCTGCCGATAAAATTTAGTGAAATTTTCGGACAGATTCAACCAACAATTTCTCAGTAAAAAAATGAAATGGCGGCGGAAAATTTTAAACGTCGCATGGCGCTTGTGATACTTTGCCTGGAAGGTGACGATATAACGCCGCTAATAAAAAACGTTGCATTATATTGGTTTTCATGTAAAATTTTCATTATGAAGCACACCTCAAAATTTAAAAGTTGGCGAAATAATCACGGATTTTTGCAGTTTTAGTAAAAATTCATTTCCGACCCCTACTGACTCGATCCACTGTGCGTCGTTTCCTAGACGAAGAAACGTAACTTCAGTCCAAGGTTGTGTAATTTATCCTTTCCCTTACGAAAGAAAGTAGCTACATTTCCATGTTGCCGAATTTCCCCTTGCAAATATCATTATTACCGGGGAGGTCTTGGGCATTTTAAACTGGAAATGCCACTGATTTTTCGCTGATCTTATGCAAAAATCAGAAAAATTTTGGACAAGAATTTCATGGATTTTCTTTTTCCTAAAATTGTTCAAAAAATTGAAGTGTTTCGATCGATTTTCCAACCTAGAATATAGTTACGTTTTTTCTTCCGAAAAACGACAAATTGACTCGAATAATAATTTCCTTTTTTCAAAACTTGCCTCTGCAATTTAATTTTTTTTTTTCGAAAATTTGTAAATTATTGCGTGTAATCAGAAGAAATTTGTGACATTTTCAGCTAGAAGAAATACAGTGAACTTTTTGATCGGTGTAACAAGGAGATATGTATGGATCAAAAGACACTAAAATACATCATTAAAAAAATGAGCCCGTAACTTCTGTGAAAGGAATTTTGATTAAATTCGTTCATACGATAACCTGGTTTCTTTCTTTCAGGATATAGAGGAGTTCATCGAGAAATCTCAACACGGTGTAATCTATTTTTGCATGGGCTCTTTGTTGAGGGCAGCTACTTTTCCTGAGGAAAAGAAGAAGGCTTTCCTCCATGCGTTTTCTAAGTTGAAGGAACGCGTTCTTTGGAAATTCGAAGAGAAAACTTTAACCGCACCAAAAAATGTCATGATCAAAGAGTGGATGCCCCAAAGGGATATCTTAGGTAAATAATCAATCTCGATAAGTCCATATGTCTAATACGTCCTCTATTTTTAGAGTGTAAATAGACTGCTTTTTTTGCTTTTCAAAGCAGAAGTAATATTGCCGGGAGAACGAGGCAAAAGTTTAGAAAATACAGCCTCTTTGCTTTTTGGTAATATCAGATGATGAGGTTTTTTTCCACGGTACGATATTTCGCTATTTTTGTTCGGGGACCTAAATATTAAATTTTACAGTCCGAGAGCCAGATGACATCCAGAAACAAAATCGTGACGTAAGTTTTGACCACTTAAATCTGCACTGACAACGAAAATGGTTTTCTGCCACGTACTGGCACACGCTACAACGCAACGTGATAGACGACCATTTTCCGTTTCAGTGAATGATTATCGATTTAAATGGTCAACATTTATGTCACGAGTTTGTCAAAAAATATTGTTAGGCTCTCGGGCTATATTAAGTATATTATAGTATAGATACCTTCTACAGAACAGATCTACCTCTCCTCGATTCGACACTTCAAGCAGAACGTCGTAAGTCTGAAAGACTTCGATGTAAATCGAAAAATATTTTTTTTACCTCTTAAGTATATAGCAAGAAGAGTTTTAGAAACCACAATTGGACTACATTTTGCAATTAGAAACTGTAATCTCTAGCTCATTTAAGGAACAAAGCGTGTACAATTAATTTCCCTTTGCAAGGAATCGTGTTTTTACAGCTGAGCCAGAGATTGTAGCTAATTTCGAAATATAGTCAAATTTAACTCGAGCTTCAGCATGCTTAAGGTTAATCTTCAGCTGTAGTTCCGAAAAAATCCACCACGTCGCGCTGCTAAAATCCGACTCCGAAATCAGTGATTATTTAAATATCACAATAGGTATCTTAAATTCTAAGACTAATAAGTTCTAGCAGCATACGTCTGGAATCCTTAGAAACAAACGCGAGCTTTGAAAGTCTAATAATAAAAGCTGTAAATTGATCCCAGTTTCTCTTACGGGATATCTGTAAGTGCGAGAGAGACAGCTCACGGTGGGAGAGAGATATCTGCCAACTGCTGAGAGCGATCAAGCGCGATTGGTTGCATCAAGGTCATCATGCTTAACCCTACTTTTTTCTGGGATCAAATTTCAGAGCTTCAGAAATGACTTTTCACGTTGTTTTTAGGGTCAATAGGAAGAAGAATGTTATGGCTAGAACTTATAACTCTTCGATTTAAACAGAAATTCCTTCAACTTTTATAAAAGCTCAAGGACTCACGTGGAGCTGTACGGACTCTAAAACACAGCGGTGGCGCCCCCTGCGCGGAGAAATTTCTTACTTCACGCAGCTGTAGATAAACCTTAACTAGCGTGCACGAGTGTTAAAAAGGGATTTCCAGTAAAGTCTCAAAAATGAGTTATTTGAAAATGTTTTACAAATGAGTTTGCTAACTTTCTAATTACTTTTCAACAGCGCATCCAAAAGTCAAGTTGTTTATCGGTCACGGTGGTTTGTTGGGAACACTGGAAGCCATGAGTGAAGGGAAACCAATGGTTGGGATCCCGATGTTCGGCGATCAATCCCTGAACTTACGGACCCTTGAAGATCAGGGAGTAGCCAAGCTCATTAAGTATGACGAGATCACTAATGATACCATCAATGATGCGGTCCAAGAAATGTTGAAACCAGAGTAAGTATGCAAAATCATTCATCTATTTATTTGCACATGGTGCCTCATTGAAATATTCTCATCCTACAGCAAATAAATTTTTATTGGGCGTTTGGTAAAAAGGAGAAAGCACTTCGGTTCATATGGGTGCCCAAGATTATCGGTCAAACTGATCAAAGTTTTCGGTGATGAAGAATGAGCAGGGATAACAAAAACAGCAAATAAGTTTTTATTGGACGTTTAGTAAAAAGGAGAAAGCAAGAGTATTTTTTCTTGTCAATGTTTTCAAAAGTCTGGACTCTAGATCCAATGTGTTTTTCTTTTCCAGTAAAACTGACCGAAGTTTTCAGTTATGAAGAATGAGCAGGGATAACAAAAACGTTGGTTGTCTGGACCAAGTTCGGTTCCGATAACCAAAAACATCGGTTACCCGTGCCGAACACGTTGGTGTTTGAAGAGAACTGGTTTTCTTGGTGGGCGAAAAACATCTCAGTATTTGAGATGTACTGAAATTGATTTTTTGAGAGTTGATCATTTATAAATCGGTTTTTTTCTCTTTTCTCTTTCTCATTACTTTTCTCTTTTTTTACCGAGAGGCGACCGATGACGAATGAGCCTAGCAAAAATAAATGTTAAAGATTAGGAGATAAAACTTAGACGTCGTAAGTGACCATATTCTTAATGCAAGAGGTCGAACTTGTTGGTAAAGCAAATTTCAAGTTGAGTAAAAAAATCGTATTTTAAAACTTAGACGGAATCTCTCTCTAGTATCCTGGAGACTAATTTAAGTTGCAATCGGTATCGTTTAAACCTATGCCTTTCAATGAAATATTATTACGTAATGATCCAGATTTCCGCCCTAAACATGGAGAAATAGAATTTCAAAAACACTTTTCTCAAACTATATTTTTCTTAATATAGCCTTTAAACCACCGTAACGCAGGTTTTGTTCCAGGTGCATTTTTTAAAAAAATTGTTGTCCCAAAGAAATGAGTAGAGCCCTTTTCTATATTCCAGTATTAATAATTACCTAGGTCGGAATTTTTTTGGACTAAAATATTCTACTTATTCCGTAGATGATCACGTCATTAGCTGGCCATCATTCACAGAAAAAAAAGTGTCAGTGCAGGGGTTATCCCCTAAAATTGTGGTGCTACCCCAATTTGTTTGATATGGACATTTCTAACTAATTGTGGTAGTACCGAAACTCAAGTTAGGGTAGTACCGCAACGTTTGGGTTGGTTACCTAATTTATTGGGGTACTACCATAATTAATTGGGGTGCTACCATAAATAATTGGGGTTCTACCATAATTAATAAAAATTGTCCATATTATCCAACAACCGTGTACCGCTTTTTTTATCCGTGTTTTTACACGATTTCTATACCAACCTCCCATCCGCTAATTGGTTCTTTCAAAATTAGAAGAAACCAAATTGGATTTTATCTATGGATATGTTTGATTATTTTAAAAAATTCTTTCATAGATACGCAGAGAGGGCAAAGGAACTCGCAAGATTATTCCATGACCGGCCAATGTCAGCGATGGACACAGCTGTCTACTGGATTGAATACGTCATACGGAGTAAAGGAGCTCGAAAGCTACGCCCCGCGGCTGTCGATCTAACTTTTTACCAGTATCTGCTATTAGATGTGATCCTATTTTACGTTATTTCTGTGATATGTATTTTGTATTTAATTTATTATCTTTTAAGTTACCTATGTTGTCGAAGTAAATCAAAACATTTGAAGTCAAAAGTTAAACGTCAATAAATCTACGATATTAAAATCTGCTATTTTTCTACTAAATACCTGATTTTCATGGCAAAAGAACGGATTTTCATTCCAGGGTTGCAAAACTGAATCATACAATTCAATTATTTGTGACAATTATGACCGAAATGTCTGCCCAACGTTTTTTAAGATGATGCGACCGGGTACATTAGAGTCATTGATCCGCAATACTGCCGTGCTAAGGAAGAACGCCGTATGAACATTCGAGAGTTGCTCAGTTTCCTTCGATAAAATGTTTATTTTTGACTGAAGTTATGAATATTTTCCTTGAAATTTTGAGGAACTTTGGGGGAATCTGAAAAATTGGAAGAAAAATACTCATATGTTTACCAGGAAATTCGTGTTGTATTAAAGGAAATTTGGCAACGCCTGAAGGTTCATAAGGCGTACCCTCAGCACGGCAAAATATATCGACCGCCAAAAAGCAAAACCAGGTTTCTCTTTTGCTTTGTTTCAAAATTTCCGCTCCTATTCTATTTTTCCAAATAAAAACAAGCCTAATTTTCAGCTTGAAATTTTTACTAAATATTCTGCTAACGGAGGAGAAAAATCAAGGGAGTTTTAAAAAAAATACGTTGACTTGTTCTCTGAGGAAAAATTTAAGTAATGGCAGGAAGTCTGCAACATCACAACGGAGGTATGTGGTTTCGCAATTTGACCATCGATATCTTTATCACACGATGTAACTATTGTAAACCAGTCACTGTTGTTGAGCGTATAGTTTTTCACTGCAAAGAGATGTATTTTGCATTTTTTCAAGCTAAAAAAACTGGAAAAAATAAAAAATAAAAAAAATAAGCTGCAACTATTGGAGAATGTACGTAATCGTCCTTTTTTTATATTTCCGATAATGTGATTCCGGAGTTGAGCACCAAAGGCTAATGGAAAGTGGATCGCTAAAAATAAAATTGTCATGTTACCGATTTATGAAATGGGTGTTCAAGAGATTTCAAGAGCAAAGTGATCTTTCAGTCGTGCGCCATTGTTTCACACTATGACTGGATTGTTGGAACGAGCACTGGATATCAAGCAAGGCATAAACGTTTCTGAACTAACTCTGTTAGGATGTCTTCTTTATTAAAGTCAGGTAAAAATATGTTAATCATTCCAGAAAATTTGTAGCTATGATACAAAAAAAAAGTCTCACCTGCGAGATGTTTTTCAAGTGCAGCTAGCTTTTGCGGTCTTTTTAATGCGCTCTACGCAATTTTAAAACATGAAGACCTGAGTCAATTTTTTGTTCATCGATTGCGTTGTTAAGGTGAATCTCGTGTGATTTCTATGATTGCAATTGGTCAATCTTTCCTCTTAGTGCAGAAATGCATTAATTTCAGAAGAAAAAGGTGTAAATATTTACAGTTCAACCGCTTCGAAGATCGATATGCCGTGAGAGTTGGTAAGTTTTTTTGGACTTTTTCCCCTGAAAAAAATTGACTGGTAAGTCTGGCTTCTCCTGAATTCTTTCGGCCTCGGTTTTATCTTTATAGTGACAAAAACGACGCCGTAAAAAATCCAAAAATACTGCCTTTTTACCGTCTTTGGGAACGATACAGAAACAATTTTGGAGGCCGAATCTGTTTCAACGTGAGATTCCAATTATGTTGTCTACACGATTTCAATGTTTACACTGTCATCACAATTTGTTAGTGCCACGGATAGTGCAACATGGTAGAACATCTTATTTTTTTGTTAATTTTGGGCCTTAGGTTGGCACAAAAGACTAAAATCCAGACTGAACAAGAATTAAAGTGACTAAATCATAGTTTCATTTTTATTTACACACTTTTTGACGTATAATTTAACATCTGAGTTGGCAAAAAAATTATAACATCCCGTTTTCTCGTCGTTCACAGATTTTTATGACTACGTAAAATTGAAGAAGAATTATTTCACCCAAACAACTGAGACATGGACAATACAAGATTCTCGCTTATTCTGCATTCTACCGGGCTTGTTTGAGAAGCTTTACTTCGTCTTGAAGTCTTTGGTTCTCATTATTTTCTGTGCGCCTTCAATTTATTTCTGCTTGGAATTTGAAATGCTTAAGAAAAGATGTAAATTCTGCGAGCGATTATTATTAGCGAACTCTGGAGGCGGAAATGAGGTTGCTCCAAAGCGAAATAAATGCTGGAAGCAAATTAAGGTCTGAGGGAAATAAGCTAGGTGCTCTCAGTTAGTATCGCACGCGACGAACGCTAAACGAATTTCAACATAACACCAGCATGCAACTGCTCGAGCGCCGCGGATGTCCCTGTTGCATACGCTCGGAAGAGAAGGCGTTTTGACTTCCTGGGCTGTCGGCTGTCACCATTTAACGTGCGGCGCAGCACGGTGGAGGGCAGTACTATGAATATCCAAAATGAAGAAAACAGGGCGCTATCAATTTTTCGATATGGTGTGAGTCCGCAACCACGATTCTCGTCTGTGGCGTTTGAAAATCTCCGCTCTCATTTCTTTGTTTTTAAATGAGAACAAATCGACATCAGTTCTTGAGGTTTTGGCAGAATTTGTTTCGTACAGAGGAATAAAAATGACGGCAATTTATGAGAATAGCTGTTGAGTAGTTTTCCGTAAAAAAAGAAAAAAAAAACCGGCGCTCCGCTTCGCTCCGCGCCGGTTTTTTGGGGGGGCTTCGCCCCCCCAAGCCCCCCCAGGACGCGCGCTTCGCGCGCGTATTGTAGACGCGCGCTTCGCGCGCGCTTTTTAGTTTGAGTGTCCATTCCAGTTGTTCTGTCTTCTTAAGCGACCCGCGCGTCCACCGCGGGAAGAGTGTATTTTCCGAAGGGGGGGGAGGGATCAATCTGTAAGGGAATGAATTAATTTCTTGAGGCATAAGAGCAGCACAGTACGTTGCCAGCGAACGCGCTGCGAAAGGTTGTGACGGTTAAATGGTGAGATTTTGTTCAAGAACAGATCATTTAACCTGACCCACTGTGCGACGAACAATTTGTCCAGAATCTTCCTTCCCCTGACCCACTGTGCGATGAAAAGTTTGTCCAAAAACTTCTCTCCCCTGACCCACTGTGCGACGATCAGCTTGTCCAAAAACTTTCTCCCCTGACCCACTGTGCGGCCCTGCTCCGGTCGGCTCCCCTCATGCCGCGCACCCCTCGCCTAAAACTTTCAAAGCTCGCCATTCTTAAACGGCTCGGCCGATTTAGCTCAAATTCAATACCAAACCAGTCCTAGGGGAGAACTACCACCTATAAAAATTTCAGCTCAAAATATTCATTTTCGCTCGAGTTATCGAGTGGACAAGATTTCACCTCCCCCCACTTTCGAGCCCCACCCCTCAAAATCTATTGCCTCAAATTTCAATTTTTTTTCGCAGAATAGTAGTCCTAATGAGTCTCTACAAAATGCAAAAAAATTGGTCAAAATATCTTTCAACGTAAGAAAGATATAACCACTCAAAAATCGAAAAATCTTCAAAAGGCGGAAATACATACATACATACATACATACATACATACATACATACATACATATATACATACATATATATATACACATGAATTTGAATGGCATATATTTTCGTGATCTACGACCCGTGATCGATGCTCTTCACAAGGTCTCGGGTCTGGGTCCGACATCATGGGAGAATGCAATAGTGTATTTCCTTCGGAAAATACACTAAAAGTATGACAGGAAATCTACAACTTTGCAAACAGAGAAACGTGCTTGTGGACTCTCTTAATTGTTATATCATGCACGAATAGTTGCTTCACGAATTAATCATACTCAGCATATCGCGCTATCAAAACTGAAGCGCAAAAGATACCCACGTCTTAGTCTGTGGGCACTCGCAAAATGGTTGTGCTGAAGAGATGTTTTTGTATTTGGTAACGAAGAAGTGAGGGCTTCCCGTCATTTTGAATTATCGCATTCCAAATCGCTGCCGCGGCGTGGCGCTGCGCGGCGGCGAATACCTGGAAAGTCAAAACGCCTTCTCTTCGGTGTGTATGCAACACGGACATCCCTGGAGCTGAAATAGTTGCATGCCAGGCGCTATGTTGAAATTCGCTTCATGTTTGTCGCATACAATACTAGGGCTTTGCTAATTTTGTTCGCTCCTCAACTTAATTCCAGCTCTACCTATTGTGTTGATGAAGTAAACTATTGCTGATTTGTATCGCGACAGCGTCAATTTTCCGAAAAATGCATTTAAATGTATTTAAATATATTATTAAGAGTATTAAAATGTATTTCAAAGTTGCTGGTCCTCCAAGTCGCGAAAAATTAAGGTATCAGAGCAAGATTTGTAGTTAACCTTTCACTTAATATAAAAATCATCTTTGATTGGATTTCCCCCTTTTGGAAAAATACTTTTCACGTCAGAGTGTTCAATATTCAAAGGACAACCCTTGAAGGTCTGGAGTTCCTCCCTGGAAATTCCTGGTTAAAGGAGTTGACAAAAATTACGTGCAATTTTTTCTTATAAAAAAACAAGGTGGTAAAACAGTGTTGGGTCCACACTATTTTACGGGGAAAACAAGACCAAAAAGTTAAAAAACTTAGACAATTAGAGTAAAAAACAAGGAAAATAAGAAATATCTGATTACGTACCAGGCGGTTGTAACGTAGGCTAACGTAACTACACTGGAATAAAACACATTGGATCTAGAGCCCAGACTCTTGAAAACATTGACAAGAAAAAGGACTCTTGATTCAAGCAGATTTAAGCTTAAATCAAAAGGAAATCCGCTCAAATTAAGAGGCTTGGTTCTTGATTTAAGCTAAAATCTGATTGAATCAAGAGTATTTTTTCTTGTCGATGTTTTTAAGAGTCTGGAATCTAGATCCAATGTGTTTTTTTTTTTTTTTTTTTTTTTTTTTTTTTTTTTTTTTTTTTTCTGGTGTAGACTCAACCGCCCGCTCCAGGACGAAAAAAGTACGTAGGTATCCCCAAACTGTGCTTACAAACGAGTTTCTTCGTGTTTTCCTCTTGTTTCTTTTTAAGTCTGCTTTTATTTAGGTATTCGCACTTTTGAGATGAGTCT